CATATCAGTATAAACAATGCCTTCCGTACAGAAATGGAGTGCTCAAACATGCCAACCCAGTATCTGTAAGCTAATTTAGAGCATGTTTGGAAACAGCCATTTGGATATGCAAAAATTCCATTTTAAGAATAATTCATGTTCGATGGATAATTAAGATTGAACTTTCGGATTCCAAAAAACCCTTTTTAAAAGAAGTAAGAAATAGAGACTTCTAGAGAAGTTCATTTTTCTAGAAGTCCATTTGCAAAATGAACTTCCCTAAATGTGTTCCGAAACAAGAACATAATATAGTATTTGCCAATAGGAGGCGACCATATCTAGTTCAGCTAAATCCCGGAACCTGAGACAACAAATAAAATATAAATAAATAAAATACAACAACAATCTTTAAGTTTTTTAATTGATTAAATTTCCAACAACACGGAACCACCAGTGGTGTTGTACACGCCGAATCTGAAGTTCCAAAGCAAGAATATGCTTTAGATGTGAAATGTGCTTTTAGGAATAAATAAAGGCTATTCTAGTTCATGCAAGCTAACTTATTGTTACCATTCCTAAAGTTGGCAAACTAAAGCATGTAGAGAAGTTCAGATTTGGAGTGCATCTGCTATAGAAGAAGCAAGGCTCAACACCTCAAATGGTGTTCTGTTTATGATAGCCTTCACGGTAACTGGGCACGAGTCAGTGATCCAAAAGTGGGTGAAAGCCTTCTCTAAACCTCACAATACACAATGAACGGCAATCAATCACAATCAGTACTTAATAAAAAAATAAAGATTAAAGAAATGGAAACCAAGAATAATAAAAACGAAACATACCATCATTTTTGTGAAGAAATCGCTCCCATGACTTGTTCGGGAACACGCCATGTGTGACATACGCACTCACCTTAGCAGCACCGTGAGCTGCCAATACTTTCTGACAAAACCAAAAGAGGAACATAGCATCAAAACTTGCATTGATTAAATGCCCAATTCATTCAACAAATCATTCTAGTTTAAAAGGCCCAAGTATTGAAAATCTTCTTTACACAAATCTATATTGTTTGGTTTTGAATCCTTTTCACATGGAGTTCTTAACAAAGAGCTGCTACTAAGAAAATGTGATATTCAAATTTATTTTGCCAAATAATCTAGTAATATTCTATAATGTCATAATTGTTCAACAAAAATAAAAATACATAAGCTCATTCATTGAGAAACTCCACGAGTTCATAATCCATTGAAAATAAAAAAGAGAAGGCAAGAAGCAAAACCTGACACTCGATTAAGGTGCCACCAGATTGCACCAAGTCATCAACGATAACAACGTGGCAGCCTGCAGGGTTACCCTCTTTTATTCTAACTATTCTCTTGTCTCCTTCCCGAACCTTGTTGCAGATGACCTACAACAATAATTGCGATCCAGAAATTTCCCCAAAATAAAAATTCAAAAGCAACGTATAAAGAAAATTAATGCTATATATATAACATAGAAAAATACAAACCATAGGAAAATGATCGAGCAGCTTGTGGAATCTTTTCCAAGCTCCATCATCAGGAAATGCAACGATGATCTATATAAATTTAGAAGTTAGCCTAACAAATTTAACAAATTTGATAAGGATCAAATGCCCTTATTTGTGAATAACATCGGGACCCCTTTAAGGACAACGGTATATGTTTCATAGGATATACGCAATCACCTTATCTAACTCTGGAAGTTGCTGAAGCCGTTGCTTCAAAAGTGGGATTCCACTCTCAAACACAGGCAACACAGTATCACTGAAGTAAAATCTTTCCTGTAGAAATTAGCAGATGGAAAATACATTTCCTAAGGCATTATGGAAGTAAAATCTTCCATTTGTGAATAAAAACCATGAAACTTTAATAGCAATTTAGGACAAAAGAAGTTAAAGTAACCAAAAAAAAAGTTTCTTTTTTCAATTGTAAAAGCAAATGCTAGGTGACCCACGAGCTTTACAATTGATATATAGAAACTGCATCATTTCTGAACTTCATTCAGCATCTACTCAAATACCGACCTTAAATCTACTAATATTGACCAAATGATCTTGTCAAGTTCCATGCATACAAACATAAAAAAAAGGACTATCAAGCTTTCAAAATGATTGTGTAAAAAAGATTTTCCGAAAGCAATTTATGCACATGAAGACTCAAGAAATCAGACAAAAGAAAAACAGCAGGACAAAACATTGGGGATCAGATATTCAATCCACAACTTTGCAAATAATTCTTTATAAGGTCTAAACACTCTTACTCAATCCCTCAACATTTGCATTCAACAAATATATTATCTAACATTATTCAACCGATCCACTTAAATTTCGAGCCAATGTTCTAGAACTTCCGTTATTCACACATCACAGGACCTGTCTGTTGAAACTAACTGATTTGGTTTTACAGACAGACTGATAGATATTATCCCCATTTCTAGGTCTAAGAGAAGGAATATTTGTTAACTACGAATGTAATTCCTGGCTTGTTCCCAATTATAAAAAGAAGGGAAAAACTTAAAATAATCCCTGAGGTAATTTAAAATATTTACCATTACCCACATTGTTTGCATGGTTTTTTTAGCTTACGGTAAGGAAAAGACTGAAGACATTTTTTGCAAGGCCTGTTATTTTCGAACAAAACCAAGTGTGGGCGTTATCTGTATGAATATAGAAAAATGAAGATTTTCGTCATATGGATGAAATTCAATGTAATGTTTAACACCTAAGGTAACAAAGTTAGGATGTATTTCTTTAAATGTATCAAGGAACAAAGAGAATATATCAATAAACAAAGATACTTAACAAAAGCATTTTGAAAAACAAAAAAGGCAATTAGTATGGATATGGAAAAGACACCTGCAAAGCATGTATGTCATAGATAACTAAACTGGTGGGACCACCCCTGGAGATAGGAGTGTTGGATAGCATCCGAGCCAAGGTAAATGCGGTTGCAACATCACCTTCTTCTTCTATTCGTTCAAAGGAACCAGTTGGAAAAAAAGGCAGCACTACTGTAAATGAGGCGCAAAACAGCATTGGGAGAGCATAAATAACTGAAAGCTGTTCAAAAATAACGGCTGTCGAGCTGAAAGATGCTAAAAATGCAACATGTTGTCCTCGGATATCATGTGCATTTTTTATGAAAAGATTTGGAAACCCATCATCAAAACTCCTGTACACAATCAAAAAGTTACAGTTAAATAACAAATTGTGCATTATTAAACGACATGTCAACATGCCAAAGTAGCTGCTGGTTCTTGATACCAAGTCAATCTTAAAATAATCTTTTAAATAAAACAAATCCCACAAATTCATTCAAGAGGGGAAAAAAAAAACGTTGAACAAAATATCCCACGCAAAGCCACATGCCTTAAGGAACCACCACCTGTGCTCAGTACATTTCTCTGCTACACCATCTTGATGCACAATTACTAATTCCTTAAAGTCGGATCAAAGAACTGTCATAAGAAGTCTACTCTCAGTTTACTACTCTAATTACTTTTTACATGTTTCTGAAGGTACCTCCAGTTGATTGATTGTAGCTGGATAAGGTCTGAATGAGTTGCGACCTTCCGTGCCAAATCTTCAGCTTCCACACAGTGGAAAAGTAGCACTTGCTTCTTTGGTCTCTCCATCTTCTTGTCGCACTCCAAGACTCACTGCTATGGGTTTAAGAGTGCATATATATCATTTCAGTAGCTTATCAATTTCAACATAACATAAGCAAGGAAAAATTAATAAAAATATAGATATTCTAAATCAAAATGTATGAACATTATACACCATTCTTGGTAAACAACAACAAACTAGTGCTTCAAGTTCGTTCAAAATTAGATTGGCACATTAGGGAAACTGAAGAGAAGAGATGCACACATAAGCAAATAGAGATATGAACTTCTATTTATTTAGGAGTTCCACCATCAACCAAGAATATGGATAGGCATTAGGCAATTAACTTTCCAAGTCCTGATCAAATTCCAGAGGCAGTTATGTATGAGCCTGAAAGTTAACAAATCCAATTTCTAGTCAAAATTGCAAAAACTCCTAAAATTGTCTTCTGTCATCCATAAATAACACATCAGAGTTTCAATCAGTGGGTATAGAAACCAAAACCATATGTCACAGACCAAATTAAAGTTTCAATTAGTGGGTATAAAAAACCAAACCCCTCAACAGTAAAGCAACCTAATGAAGGAGTATGAAAGTTATACCTCTGTATGAGACTTTTAAAAATCCAGAAGCCGGCTATGAAAAACCTTCCTCAACCTCAAATTTCAGCTAAGAGATTGAAAGGTGCTCTTGCTTTCGATTGCTTCAGCATTCAATAAGAGAGGACACGGAGGCGGCGTGAGGCGAGGTCGAGGCGGAGATTGAGGTAAGGTTGAGGCGGACGTCGAACACTTTTCCTCTCCGGCGGGCGGCGTGAACTGGAGTTGAGACGAAGAAAGAGCGGACGGGGCTGCGTCGTGAAAGTGTGTGAGAAGTTGAAAAAGTGGAGAAAATAAATAAAAACCCTCAGTGTATGAGCACGAGTCCCTTTGTTGATTTTAACAAAATGCCCTCATATTTTTTTTTTCTCAAGCAGAACAAAACGACAACGTTTTGTTTGTCTAGCAAATGCTTTTCTCTCCTTTTCACCAATCGTAGCTCGAAGCTTTCCCTCCTCAGCAGCTCAGCTTATTATCCCTTCATTTTCGCACAAACCGCAACAAGATAGTTTATCATGGAGAATTGTTTTTCCTCTAATCAGTTCATATCTTCTCGCAACTCACATATCCAAGTGAACACTAAAACACTAACCATTACAAATTTCAACCTTTGTAACAGATGTTAAAAAGGCCACGCGGCGGGGATAGATCGGCACTAGAAAGTCGGAGCTCGTTGTTCTCACGGCGGAGGGACGGCGCCGATGTCGAATTTCGCAGCGGTCACGAGGGGTTTGAATGACGCTTTATCTTTCTGAATCTCACCGGAGGATTTTTGCATAATGGATGGAATGACCAGCCTCAACCGCGTGAGAGGTTCTCAAAACAGGCGATAATGGAGAATATTTTCAATGATCTGTATCTCAAACGCCATTCTCACAATTCTCAGGTGAGGTTACCCTTTAGCAACTTCTGTATATTTTATTATATGTGTTGTCCTTAGACCATCTCCACCTTTTACTCTATTCTATATTACTCTACTCTAGAGTAAAGGTAGTCGAATATCTCCAATCGTTCGCGCTACATTTTACTCTACATATATTCTATTATTTTTTATTCAATTTTATTTCAAATAAATTTCAATATATATGTATATTTAATCTTATATAAATTTTTGTTACCCGAAAAATAAAAAATATGTTGATGTGTGTTATAACTTTTGATTTTAATGAAATCTACTTATTTTATTGTGGTAAATTTTTATTCATATGGTACTATTAAAATTTACAAAATAAATTTAAAAATACATCTATTATTATTTACATGTATATTATTAATAAACTAGACATGTTTTTATACATATATAATTATTTGCATGTATATGATTAATGAAAATATATTTAAAAACAATAATAATTTTACCAACAGTAATATATTTCTAAAACCTTAATCATGTACAAGTAGTGAAAAAATTAAATTAGAATTACATTTTAATTTATTTTTTTTATAAAAATTGTATTTATGATGTTTGTTAAAAATCTACTTACAATTCTATATAATTCAATAATATGTGATATCCAATTTAAATGGTAACAGTATTAATAAAATAAACATAAAATATTAAAAGAAAAAGAAAGAAAATGTAGCGTTGGATGAACAGTTTATCTCTGTATTCAGCGCAATACTAAACAGCACTGGAGTAGCAATACTGTTTACAGCACTGGAGTAGCGTTGACATCTGGCGCAGGATTGGGGATAATTTGTAGAGATTTGCGCTAAAGTAAAGTAGGGTTGGAGAAGCTCTTACTAAACAACTTATATATGTATGTGAATTTCTCATAGTGTTTTGGTCTGTAATCGTATGTGCAGTTGAAGGAAATTTCTAATTTATTGGCTGCTGAAGTGTACAATCTGAAATCAGTTTCGAGCAAACCCACCCCAGCCCAGGTTTTGAATTTTTTCTCTCATTTCCCTGTTCGCGTTCATTTTTTATTTTATTGTAATTTATAACGTGAAATCGACATAATTTTGTGAGAGAAAATGATAGGCCTGAACATTTGTGAACAACTACATTGTGCTTTTCAACTAATTCATTTGCCAGGACATTGACAAACATAGTACTGAGATTAACTGCCACAAAGTTCAAATAGAAACAGGTTAGAAAATGATCAAGAAACTGACAAAAGAGATTTAAGAGTGAAAAACTGAAGAAACTTGTGGATGAGCTGCGGACATTTAAGGTACGATTCACTTAATAAGGTATCGTTTTTCTTCGTATGGTAATATGTCTATCCTGAGTCAATTTAACAAATTCTGTAGGTGGATGCTCCGTACAAGTTACAAGATAAGAAGAAAGCATGTAAAGGGTTTGAAATGAAGGGGAAAGGTTACACGAAGAAGCTTGGAGATCTTGAAGTTGCTCTTTTAAAACACATGGAGCAGTAAGCATTTTGTCTTGCATCATGATTCATGAATTGATAACATGGTTTCATCAATTGCTTAATTTCTTAATTTGTCTTAATTGTCTAATTGCTTAATTATTTTCCTTAGTTCGGTTAATTGCTTGATCGCTCTTTTGTTTTATTTTCCTGATTTTGCTAAGTTAATACATGCCAAAGTTTTCGAAAAATTAAAGCTAAGATCGGCTATTTTCAATTTTCGAGCCTAAGTTCATTTTTAGGCCTAAGTCATATTTTTTCCTAAGTTTAAAAGCCTAAGTTTGGTGTTCAAATAAGATGGCCTAAAATCCCTAAGACTACACCCTACAGCCGTGCATCACCAAGCCATGCAGCCCCATTTTTCTTTTCCAAGTCCAAAATATTTGAATTTAAATGCCTTGGGACCAAGTCTTTTGAAGCCCGTGCAGCCCCTTTTTCCCGGAACAAAATCTCCACCTAGGCTCCTTCATACGATCAGCTCCTCCAAAAGAAAAAGGGAAGTTGAATTATTCCTCCAACCACCCCCAAACATTCGGCTCCCTCATTCCATCATTTTCCCAACGTCCACCTACACCTCCAACCCTAAGCCATCACCTATTTAAGGCCTCTAACTACCCTCAGCCCCCATTTTACAATTGTTCAGAAACCTTACAAAAAGTTCAAGAAAATAAGTTCCAGTCTTGAATTTTCAGCCGAGAACTTCCATAGCCAAGCGCTGCCACCTTACCGCCGAGACTCTCCACCGCGCGTGTAGCCGAGCACCAGTTCGTGAGAGCTGCACACCGGTGACTGAGGCGGAGAAAGAGTCGAGAGCAGGAGTCCTTAAGCCACCTTTTCAGCCTTGAGACGAGTGAGAACCCCCGCAGCTAAGAGCCAAAAGCCGAGAGTTTGTCCAAGGCCTAACCGAGCCATTTTCACTCTTTTCCTTAAGCCTTTTTTTCAAGGTATTTTGGCTGAGCTTTAGTCCCTAAATTATGGTCGAAATTATGCTAATGTTTCAGTTTTAAATGTTAAGATATGGCATGCTTTAAACTTAGTGAAAAAGGAAGAAGAAAATGAAGTATTATGCATGTTTCAAGGTGTTGGTTTTGTCTCGGGTTTTCCTGGCCATTGTCATCTAAATGAGCTGAAAATTTGTATGCTATATCTTGTACCTGTTGTGAGTCCTCATGTGAAATTTCAGCCTCATACGACTTGAATAGCCTGCTGTGGAAATTTTTGAGTAAAGGCATGTATAATTGAACTTTGTGCCTCGTTTTTCCCTGCTTAGGTATATGAGATTAATCTCAAATTTTTACAGATATATTTTGTGTATGTCGTGAGTAATCATGTTAAACTTCAGCCCCAGTTGACATGTGTAGCAGGCTATAGAATTTTTTTAAGGAGAGGGTGTATTATGTGCATTTTTTGGCCGATTTTTGTTATGAGATGTATATGCTGAGATATGGTGACTGTTAGCATGCTGTTACATGCTCATTTTAGGGCCTTTAATATTATTTATCATATTTAAAGGTTGAAGGAAAGATAAGATTAAATGAGGCATGTTTGTATGTTGTTTGTACATTTGTTGAATGCCATGTTGCTGAGTATCTTTGGGGCGTGTTTTGTTGCTTATATATGTGTTAAAGACTGTGATTATGTGCATTTAAGAGGCCTTAAATTTCAGTTCTAAGGCCCTTGGGGTAGTGCTTAAATGTTGAGAAAAGAATGAAGAAAAAGGAGGCTATATTCTTTGTGTTGTGTACCTTGTGTTTAAATGTCAATTTGCTTCAACCTTTGTGTGTTTTAAATTCTGAAATTTATGTGATATTAATGCTGAAAACGAGTGATTGTTAGAGTGTTTTATTTCAGTTTTTAAGTGTACCAAAGAATGCGAAATCTTAATTGGCTAATGAGGAGAAAATGAGTTTTATTCATGTATTTATTTGAGCCTTATGGTATGCATTTTTTTGCTGAAGCCTAGTATGAATGTTTGCTGAGGTTATGAATGATTATGCCGAGCCTTATAATGTGATCCGGGAAAGTCGGGTTGAGCCGAGAGAAGTTAGAATTTTTATGTGTATTTATCCGCTCTTATTTGACAGAATTGTGTGTTCTTATCTGCAATATGTGCCTTACGTGTTTTAATGTGTTGATATGCATTTTCAATCAAACCCTAATAATAAGACTTAATAATCAAAATTCAGATTAAGAGGAGTCGAGCCCCACACAGACGCACGAGCATTCGTCCAAGTGCAATAAGTTAAAAAGGTGGGGAAGTCTATACTATGTTTTATTCTTTATACTTATTGCGATCATTATGGTACTCGCAGGTTACATGATATATTCCGCGGGCAAAGGCCGATAAAAAGGCAAAGTATTTATGTCCACCTATGAGACGGTGATGCCATCTATGAGACGGTGAAGTCTCCTATGAGATGGCGAAACGTTATGATGTTTTATGTTTAATGCTGGCTCGACGATGGGTGCAGTGGTGGTCAAGAGAGAATGTTATTATATTTTATTTTCGCTTCCGTAAAACGTTTTCGAATTTGTTTTTATTACTCGTTTTCGAAATCATGTTTGATGTTTGAAGTTTATGAATATTTTCAATTATGGACTTAGTATTCGATCGTTATGCTTAGTCGTAATTGAAATAAAGAAAATGTTCAGGATGTTTTCCCGAGAATCTAAGCGCGAGGCTTAGGTTAAGACAGAAAGAAAAGAATGGAATGAGTAAGTGCCCAAAAAATGTTGTGCGAAAAGTTTCAAATTTTTCTGAAAAATCACGCTATAACAAAGGGGTGCTTACAGTTCGCTTAAGTCAGATGTAATCCAAAGAAAAGTTTTCGGTACGGCTGCGCACATGAGTGTAATAATAATGTGATTAGTTTTCATACACATTGAAGATCAGTATGACTTATGTAATAACGCTGAACCATACAAGGCTCGAGCATAGTTCAATTAATTGAGAACCCTAACTTGAATCTAATAATTACTATGACGAATGACCTTTGATAGACTTGTAGGTTCCTTTATCCGAGCTATCACTATATTGTATATGATGGAAACGAGACCGTGATAGCTTTTCTGAATAAATATGATCGTCTTTGTGTCTAGCTTACCTATTTTTATTTATTAGTAGCCTTTCTTTAGTGAGTTTTATTATTAGTATGTTTATTTCATAATTAGTAGTATTTATTATTAGGAGGATTATTAGTTGTTGAAGGGTGCAGGACTCTTGTTTTTATTTGTACACTCTTCCTACGCAGAAGAGTTCAGATTATTATCGATTGAAATAAGAAAACTGTTCGACACTCTGTGTGTTCTTCCCATTTCATATTCACGTTCTACATCAGTATATATATTAATGCATAATACTCGGATCCTAAGTGTCAATTTCTGATTTTTCGTAATCTTATTATGTATCAAATATTAGTGATTCGTAATCATATGTGTTTTGTTTAGAGTAGTACAAGTAGATTTGGACTTGTATTAATGCCTATTAGGACTTTCAAAATTACAAAACACATGGCCAACTTAAACTATATATATATTTTGAGGTTAATAATTTTCTTATTTGTTATCAGATTTTCATATATGATATAAGTTAATCGTCTCACAACGTCTTCGATTTGACATCTGCATTGCATAGACTAAAAATATGT